TTTACTTCGTAAAAATCTAATGCTGTATACGATCACTATCAAAAGTTCTTTCAGACTGTTAAATTCTTCAAATTTTCGAATATTATCTTCCTCTACTATAGTATTGACTTGTATATTTTTTCTTTCTATCTCCACAGGTACCACATTTGGTTTCATGAACTTAATTTCTTTTTCTTTTAACCATTGTGGTCCTTCCCACCACAATTTCCAAGTTTTTAAATGTGAAAGAAGAGCACCACGTGAAGCGATATCAGCAGGATTTTCTTCAGAAGTCACATGATGCCATTGTCTATTGCTTATTTTCTCTAAAATTTCAACTACTCTGTTAGCAACGAACTGTTTCCAGCGTGAAGGCTCTCCACTGAGCCATGACAAGACAATTGATGAATCAGTCCAGGCGTAAATTTCTGATGCAGGTATTCGCATTGCTTGTGCTACATGTTTTAATAGTTTTGAAAGTAAGACTGCACCACAAAGCTCAAGTCTCGGTACCGATACTGTTTTCACTGGAGCAACTCTCGTTCGCGAAGCAAGAAGTTTGGTAGTTATGATGTCATCAAGATTAATTATTCTGCAATAAACAACTGAAGCATATGCCTTCTCAGAGGCATCACAAAAACCATGCAATTCTATTTTTTTTATGTTGCTAGTTAATGAACCTAACCACCGGTCTATATGAATATCTTTTGCATTTTCCAAATCATGTCGGATTTTCTTCCATTCGTCTAATAATGGTGAATCAATTTCATCATCCCAGTCAATTTTTTCCAACCATAGCTTCTGTATTAGAATTTTTGCTGTTATTGTGCATGGAGCTATCCATCCAAGAGGATCAAACAGTTTTTGAATATCTGATAAAATCATTCTTTTTGTAATTGATTTCGAGAGTGGAGGTAAGTTACTATTGTAGATAAATTTGTCATTTGCTAAGTTCCATAAGATGCCTAACGCTTTAATAGTACCATCTATATTTAAATCAAGATTTACTTTAGTTGATCTGCTTTCGGGTTCAATTGTTTTTAAGAAAGTTGCACTATTAGATGACCACTTTTGCAACTCAAATCCACCTCTATTTAAAATCTCTTTTAATTCTTTACTTGCATTTATAGCTTGATCTTCACTATCAAATCCAGAGAGTATGTCATCCATATAGCAGTCTTCCTTTAATATTCGAGATGCTACTGGGAAGTCATCGCCTTCATCTTCAGCTATCTGCTGCAATGTCTTTACTGCTAAGTATGGTGCTGAAGCTGTGCCGAATGTGACAGTAAGTAAACGATATTCTTTAATATTTTCGCTAGGATCATTTCTCCATAATATGCGTTGAAAATCTGTATGCTTTTTATTAACTAATACCATTCTGTACATTTTTTTCAGATCGGAAACGAAACATACGGCGTGCATCCTCCATCTCATGATGATGCTGCGAAGATCTTCTTGCAAAACTGGACCTACAAGTAGTTCATCATTCAGTGAAATGCCATTCCTTCCTTTACAAGAAGCGTCGAAAACGACTCGTGTTGGAGTGCTTTCACTATCACTTCGTATGACAGCATGATGACATAAATAAACGCTTTTCTTATCATACTCTTCTTCAGGTATTTCCTCTGCATGTCCTAACGTTATGTACTCCTGTATTACTTTCTTATAATCTTCCTTCAATTTAGGTATCTTTTGTAACTTCCTTTCTAATTGTAAAAATCTTCTTAATGCTATTTCTTTGCTATTACCTTCTACCGACTTTTGTTTCTCTGTTTTGAACGGTAAGTTTACTATGTATCGACCTTCTTTATTTCTTCGGTGTGTCTTTTCATAAATTTCTTCACATAGTTTTTCTTCTTTAGTTAATTTTCTTTCATTTTCATTGTCTAGCTCCCACATTGTTTTCAGCATTTCATCTAAGTTTACCTGATGATGCATTACCATAAGAGACGGCGTATTGTATGTTCTTTCCTTTACTTGACCGAATAAAATCCAGCCCAAAGCAGTTTTTTGCGCACACGGAGATTTTGGAGGACCCTTTATTAATTCCTGCTGAACAATTTGTGCGTATTCGTTAACTCCAAGTAATAAATCTATCGGTGCCGACGTGTAATACGCTGGATCAGCCAGTTGTAAATTTTTCAAATGTGGCCAGTCTCCCACTGCGATTGACTTAGACGGTAAGTTTGTAGTGATTTGCTTCGATATAACATAAGCTTCTGTTTGAATACAAAAATCCTTTTCATATGAAGAAACAATTTGAAATTGTACCACGCTATTAATTCTTGTCTTTGCTGTACCAACTCCAGTAATGTTCCCATGTACTGGCTTCTTCTTTAGTTTCAGTGACTGTGTAGCCCTTTCGCTTATGAAAGAAGCCTGTGAGCCTTGATCGACAAGCGCTCGTAAGATTGTTGTATGCCCTGCGTCACTCCTCACTTTGACTAATGCAGTAGCTAATAAAGCGTATACCTGGTTTGTGTTGCAGTGTGACGTCATCAATGTATTGACTTGAACCTCTTCCTCTTCTACACCTGTATTTTCATCACTCGTATGCATTGTTGTTTTTTCCATCTTAGTGTGATGCAGAAGGGTATGATGACGCCTGTGACATATTCGACAAGACAGTGGCAATCGACACTTAAGAACAGAATGTCCTGTCAACAAACAATTAAAACACAGGTTCTTACTTTTTGCATAGTTATTTCGTTCAATAATAGACATATCAGCAAATTGTTTACAATGGCACAATGTATGGTTTTCATTGCATAGTATACATGTTTTTACTGGACGCTCTGTGATATGAAATGAACGTTCCCTAAAAGCCTTTTCTTTTACCTTTTCGGATGACAAAATTACAGCAGGACTAGCTAATTCCAATGTACGAAATTTTGATTCCAAAAAACACCTCAAATCTGACCACATTGGTAAATCATCAGAATTATTTTTGTAAGAAAAGTTCTCCCACTCCTTACGTGATTCCGGGTCTAACTTTTGTATAACAAAAAATACAACTACAGGATCCCATGACTCAGTATTAATATTTAAATTATTTAATGTATTGAGGCATTCAACAGTATTGTCTAATAACATCTTTATTGAATTGACAGACTGAAAACTTACCTTCTTTTGAGAAAACAACCTATTTAACAGAGAATGTACTATAATACGTCTATTTCCATAACGTTGCTTTAGAAGATTCCACGCGTCGTCATAATTATAATCGGTAACACGAACATGACGTAGAAGTGCTTCTGGTTCACCCGCGATGCTAGTTTTCAAATAGTGAAGCTTTTGTACGTTCGAAAGCGATGCGTTGTTATGTACTAAACTTACAAACAAATCTTGAAAAGTCGGCCACTCTTCGTAACTCCCTGTATAAATCGGCAGCTGGATCCTAGGTAGTCTAACTTGCGATGATAAGGTAGAGTCATTTGCATTGGATGATCCATGATGAGACCCCTGAGATGGTGAGATAGGTGATTCGATTTGTAAAACTGCGTCTTGAATGTCCGCTTTGATGCAAATGTACGCATCTTCAACAATACTATATTCATCATTTACAAAATAGGAAATGATTGTACGTTTGTCCCGCGGTGTAATCCTTATAAGCTCACGGTGTGCAGTAGTATACGATTGCCAGTATTCATCAATGCATTGTAATCTAGTTTGTAGATATCCTTTCGTCAATCTAGCCTTCGGACATTTCTTTAAATTTACCTTAGTCTTATTCATTAAAGAAGCCGTTTCCTCAAGTTGCAATAATATTTGTTCCATTGTATTTTCAGTGGTTGCCCTATTCGTGTCTGTAGCCATAGTTTATGTTTGTTATTACAACTCACCAAATGTACTAAAATTGTTTGTCCTTCTTCGATAGCTCTTTTTACTGATTAAACTCTCGTAATACGGCGACTTTGCAATAGTATCACTAATGAATCGAAAAGATAAATTTTTGTTCACATTACAATGCATTCAGCCATCTTTTTTTCAGTTCATTTTAAATATCCGGCTCAGTACGGGCCATTATGTGGCGTATAGTTATTGTAATAAAGCCTATAACTGCATAGCAACTTTATAATAAAATAAAATACATGTTGACGGTTTGACGATTTAATGAACACTGCAAAGAGAACTTAAGTACTTCTTTATAATCATTTGTAATACAATATACTCTATGACATTATTCTTTTTAAATGTATGTTTAAAACTCAACACAGTTGTTTCAAAACGGTTACCCGCGTGCTAGCCATCGACTACGTAAACTAGTAAAAGGCGTGGTACAAAATCCTCTTAAAAATTGCCGCACACGTGGTGGTTAAGAAATCTTCCGCTAACCCTATCGACATCGTAAATAGGTTATTACGGAGTACAATCATCCAGATGTATGAATAATGTGAATTATATTTATGGAAAGATACTGCTTAATATTAACGTTCAGATTGGAATCACGCAGCTAAAGCCACTATCACAAAGACCACTTATCGAATGATTGACCTAAAAGTACTTATTTTTCAAGCTCCTCCAGAGTACGAAGACATATAACCCAACGGCTTCGGCTGCGTCTGCTGTCGTTGGCGTCCACCAATCCGTATTAAGTCCAGTTGATTGATTATAGTACATTCTCCCTGTCCCATTATTTCCATGAAGAATACGTGTACGAGTACAATAGCAATGATAATTCTCTCCCCAGAACATCCTCATGACGCCCTTCCGTTTCGTTTGTATCTACGCTTTTACGACGTCCTGCCGCGTACTTGCCCTTGCGTCACTGCATCCGATTGTAAGTTATTTGAACTTTTATATTTCTTAAAAACCATTTTAAGTAAAATACTCAAATCCTACATAGTACTGTAGGCGACAGCCTGCTTATTTAAGGCCTTACTAACAGCCAATATATAAATGTTTTTTAACTGTAACTTGAATTTATGATGTCTATCAAAAGTAAAATGTGTTTCATTAAATCAATTTCATCTTCTTAATTAAGTATATTTGGACTTAAACGATGAGATATGATGTAAGAAAATAATATTTTGTTCTTCCTATAATCCTTGGTTCTAACAATCAGCGTCTGAATTCTCCTTCGGCGAGGAGTCAGCTTTTGAGTCAATACCCGAGGAGATGGATACAGGAGTGGAGGTGTACCTATCAGCAGATCACGGACATCAGACCGATACTTACTTCAAGGTATATGAAGTCATGTAGGTAGTGTACACAGAGGGTAGGTAAGTGTCCGCGTTGCTAGTGATTTGAATTATATCACTTAAATCAGGGCTGTTCTGCTAAAGACGTTTGTAAGAGGAACCCTTTTAGGCATCGGTTATATTTATAAAAATTATATGTTATATCAAAATTCACAAACGAAAAATTTTTTATCATCATAATAACTCAAACTCAGTCGTGTTCAAGATATCTAAAAAATGTAGTTTCAAATTTCTTAATAAATTATCTCTCTAATTAGTATACGTACACACGGCTGCACGACAGACTATATTTTATGGACTTTGTATCAACCACGCTTGGTATAGAACTTCCCTACTAACAGAGTTCTAGTTACGGTAGCGGTGTGTCGTTTGACATGCGGCCGTGCGTACATGAATGTTTAATTATATGGTATATGTTAATAAAGAACTTGAAAGGCTACACGCGCTCCTTATGTGAAGCACCCCCGTAACGTTCGGGCAGCATACTCTATGCAGGTAATTTTAAAAAATATTGACGATCATTGGACAATAGCAGAGCATTATTTTAGGCTATAGCCTTTAAACGTCGGAGCACCAATCTCTGTAGTCTTCGGATATAGGACGCCCGACTGTTCTTAATAATATCTGACTAACATAGCTTCCCTTTCTTTTGTTGTTTTATATTTTACCAACTCCAAACAAAGTTACCATCGAGTATCTGCCATATCTAATCGATATCACTTACATAGTCTAGACACTTTAACCATTTTCAGAAGTTTTGCACAGTTGAAACACTGTGTCATTGGTTCATAAATCTTCGACAGAAAACCTAGTACTGAGAACGAAGGGCTGTGTTTCTTCTTGCTGTTTCTCTTCCTATACAGTTATAAAAAAATAACACAAAAGTGAACCAGTATTCCAGAGCGAACATTTTATCGTATAATTTGCTATATATTATTGTTATAATATACTATTTTGATTAAAATGTGTGATTTGCATGTGTAACACGTAGGTTTGTGCATCTACGTGTTATACATGCAAATCACCATTAAAATTGTGATTAGTTAAAAAGCGATATTAACAACACATATTTTCAAAATTTAGAACTTTCTTTAGAGCTTTTAGCCAGTTTTACAATCGTTCATTAAGATATATAATGACGACTTTAGTCATTAAATCTTACTGAACGATTGTACAATTGGCGAAATGTCACACAATTGAATTAGAATACTATACTACTTTATTCCCCTATGGTTTCACTAGCGTTAAGAGCTGTTATTGTTATCTTTTACATTTTTATTTAAATTTTATTAAGCTATATGACATTTTTGGCCAATATTTAATGTATCATTTGGGTTTAAAGGTAGAACCAGAAGTGGCAACTGTTGCACCTGGAGCTCACGAACACCTCAATGTGACATTCGAACCCCCCAAGCACGGAGAAATTGCAGAAAATGCTGTACTTCTTTTACGCATTTTACCGGTGAGACCTGCTGGGTAAGTATTTTTGTGAATCCTCTCTACCCTCCGCTAGAGGAATCCTAACGGCAGAAGAATTTGTGCCCTCCTTGCAGGATACCGGGTTCTTCTTACCCGCGTGAGGTGAACCGCATCAGGTTTTACCAGGTAGGCCTTCCACATTGACCTGTCCTTTTCAAGGCGGGGTGGTTGAAGAGCCCTGGTTTAAGGTTACTTTATCAAAAACATAATAATAAATATAGATGAACGATAAGTTTCTAAAACAAAATAGTTTATTTGTTTCTTCAAAGGTAATAATAAAAAAATGTATCTCCGTCCGCCGGTCGAAAGGTTCGTGCAAGTCTGACGATGTAGCTTCCCATGAGTGAAAAAAAATCGTGGTCAGTCCAGTATTTCCGAAGATTGCCTCCAACAAACAACAGTTTAAACATGATAATAAATAGATTTAAAGCGATTCGTTATATTAGCGCGGTCTATAGGGGTTTGAGAGAGAGATTGATATAGTACCATACCGGTCCACATCGCACCGATGTCACGTCTGAGGTCTGTCGTCACAAGCCGGCGGCGTCCGGCTGCCGGGCACCGCGCTGGCTGTAGCGCGCGCCCCGCATACACAACTCAGATCACTAGCCTATTACTATCACCTCATACAACCATATTGTGCGTCTCTTCGATGGAACACACTATACAAGCGATAATGTGGCGGATCGACGGGCTGATCAAATTATTAAAGGATCGTTAGGTTAGGAATTATAAGTCGGAATACAGCCGTAAATTGTGATATGCAAAGGCAGACGATAAATATATACATATTTAGAAAATAAGTAGAAATAACTTTGAAAGAAAACTAAATTGCAAATAAAATGTAATAGTTGATAAAAAGACAAGACAAGGGTAAAAGAACATACCCACAGACCAGGTGTTAACCAGGTTTAACACCCTAGCAAAAAGAAAAAGATAAAAGACATACTTATAATATGAAGGAATGAAAACGACTTGATACAGATCGGGGAGTCGGAAACTAAAAAAAAATACATTATTCCGAAAATTGCTTCGAAGCGCAAAATAAGTCACGTGTGATATATCAAATTTCAAAGAAAAATCAAATAATATTTTCCGACCTGGATATGTAATGGCTGGCATGTATATTTCAAATATAGTCGATCGATTGAAGAAAGTTTTGCATTATTAAATTACGTTAAATTACTAGCTGTTTTCCTGCAACTTCCATATACCATATATCTCTCACGTATGATGTAGCATCCCGTAGGTGTAAAACGATCCAGTAATTACGTAACCTATTTAAAGTAAAAATCTTTATTTTATTAATAATATTTCACATAATGCTATACAATAATCCTAGAATCCATCTCTGTTAAGAGAATCAAATTATATTCGACAACGGAGGGAGGGTATTCGGGGTAACATAAGGACGCACGCATTTAAGACTGTTTTAAACAAAGCAAGCTAAAAATCTTATTCTTTTGTTATTCAGTCCGTGCTGGTTCCGCCGCGAGCCTCGTGCTCAAACAGTACACCTGCGAGCTGTACTCCGTGAAGGTGTTCTTCAGGTGTCTGATTGCAAGATCCAAGTCAAATACTGTGCGCTTGGCTTACCCTATGGTGATGTTATGAGGTAATACCTTACCTGGTACTTCATTTCTATTATCTGCATATTGTACCTCAACTCTTGCGATGGATAGAACGACTTGGAGTAAAACCTTATCCATTTCGCTGATGAATTTATTGCTGTAAATGTCTGCAAACCAGGAGCAATGGCATAAACACGGGGATGCTAGAAGAAATAAATCCGTCCTCAACCTTTGTGACATTAAAACGTGGCGAGAGACAAATTCTGTCCGGTCTTCGTTTTAGTTACTATCATCATAGTACGATGTTAAATCGGGATTTACTCGAGCGTCATAGAGACCTATTGGGTTGCGAAGCTTAGATGATAACAAAAAAATAATGTCATATAATATATACCTTTTCATCGGTGGGGGAAAAAGCTATAGATTTTAAAAAATGTAAAAATACTGTTGTATGGACATACTCGAGCGCGTCAGATATTAATGTCATCCATGTCCTACGCATTTTTAAAAACTGTCGTATGTTAATCTGATCGTTTCCATGATGGGGGTGGTTTTACGTAAGGGTTGAAAATGAAAAAAAAAATTTATCGAGCGCGTCCGATTTTTGTGGGGATGTCAAGTGAACCTAAAAAAAGCTCTCATATAATAATCTGACGATTTGGACGTGACGCAAACATCATCAGCCCTTTTACGTCCCCACTGCAGGGGCTCTGGGGGCCAATTCTACTAATTTACAACGATCGATCATCAATAGCGTTTCTGTAACGGTTACGTTTCGATTTTTGCTGTAAATTTGCATTCCGCTAACGTAAATTATCAAACGAACGTTTACTAAACTGAAACGTAATCGGAGCCAAATCGCAGCCGAACCAAACAGTGTCATTAGTGTTACCAGAATAAAATAAATGAAATTATTAGTTAAACGGGAGACGATTAATGATTATTCATTCCTTCATTTTTTTATCATTTCTGTACGTAATGAATCTATTATATTCTTATTCGAACGTTTTAAAATACGGACGAAACACCCGAATATTAGCTACATTAAGAAAGTGCATACCTAAGTGTTAAGCTATAAGGGAAAATACCCGAACCGCGAATTTATAATTAATATTTTTATCATTATGGGTATTTGACACTATAAAAATAAGTTTCGTACTATTATCATCATGTTAGATAATAATCTAATAAAAGTTTATTTCTTAGAATCTGTAGATTTAAACAATTATATTCATCGAAAATAGAACAGATTCTCATGTAATATATTGACAGTGTGTTTATAATGTATCAAACAACTATTTTAATTAATTAGTTTTCAGAAAATCGTCATATACCCAATTCTAACTTTTATTAAGCACTCAACTTTAAACATGCTTAATATTTAAAGCATAAATCCGATATAATTAAGTCTTTTAATTAACAAAAAAGTCAGATGAAATACTATTAATCCTGGCGTCGACTAAAGATAACGTCAAGCTTAAAGAGTTAAGTTTCAAAATTCGAATGGTGTTGGTTTATTTTATTGTTTATACCGAGTTTTAATTCGCAAAATAAATGTTATTATGTGAGATAAAGTAGCATGAAAGTGAATAATATGATTCCGTAAAATAAAACGGTACCTACATAGGTAGGTCGTGAACAGAAAAGTTTTGACTCATTTTCGGTCACTAACAAACTGTAATAAGTGAGGTATGCAATCAGTCCAAGACTAGGACGAGCATTAATCCAGAGGTGTATACTTTACTTTAAACAACTCCGTTTCAAAAGAATGTACAACAAAAATAATCATTAAATTTATATATTTGTTTGTACTAAAAATTAAATGTTAAAGTTAAATGATGATTGCATATGACTTTAGTAACTTCAATCCATTTAAACAGAATTCATTAAACTTCATTGAATATCATCGGACTTCATCAAACTACATGGATAGTTCATATTGTGACTTTATGGGACTTCATTAGGTTTTCATATAACATTTCCAATTACGGGCATTGGAAATTACATAATAATAATAATAATAATATATATATATATATTTATTTGGGCGTTGTTGAATCAACAACCGTAGTAATCCGTAAAACTTAGGAAAAATGCAAAATTGCACCAAAATTAACTAAAAGTATATTAAAGTTTTTTTTATTCAATAAATGTTACTGCAGTTCTATTACATATAGTGAATTAATCGATTATTTTCCAATCGATGTTTGATTTTCATATTGCAACACCAATTCACTTTTTGTCAATACAAACAAACCAAAATGATACAGACAATGTTTTAATTAATCTTTCATTCATTACTTTTTCATTTTACATGTAGAAATTAATTTATTCACTTGACTTTGGCAGAATTGTGTGAAATGCGCAGATATACCACTAATAAAAGAAGAATGAAATTGAAAAATTGAATTGTAAATGACAATTTAATATGGGATATCTACTAAAACAATCCGCATATGTGTATTTTTTTGTAATATTAAACTGTAATAGAAAGTGAAACATTATACTTGAAAATATTATTTACAAAATTAATTTTATTAAATAATTCATACCATGTATTGGCTACGCACGTGAAATTGGCAGAATTATGCGAAAGCCCTTAATAAAAGAAGTTTTCGATTGAAAATAAATATTCATACGTATCAATAACAAAGTGAAGAAGATAAACGATAGTCGACTCAAAGTAGACATTTAAGAGAGAATTATTGATGATGAAATGAATCCAATATCTTTCGAAATCGGGCTATACCTACATCTGTACACTGAATCAAGCAAGGCAACATAATATATACTGTGGAAAATCTATACAAGATTAAATTTCAAACAATGTTTGTTATAGAAACCCATTAGAAATGTCATTATTGACTAGATATTATAAGTAAGATCAGAGAAAATTATTAATGATTTGACATATCTTTCACATTAAGTTGTATACAAATTAAATTCTTGTAGTTGCATAGATCTGCTCGCAGCTGTCATCCATGCTGACTATGAGCAAATTAAGTATAAGTTTCAACTGATATAAAAGAACTTACACATATAAATTCCTGCAAAATTGAACAACAGCTCCTGATTCACAGGCTTATTTTTTTTGTTCTAAATTGTAACCCATCATAGCGTATGACAGTTTTCTTTGGGTTAAAATTGGTGGTTGGTTTTAACTTTGTGTCAAAAACAGTAGAATATGTATTTTTCATGTAGGTAATACTAATTAGGCTGAACATTTATCTTGCACGCAACTTAATATATGGTTACAGAAAGCCTCATGTTATTTCAAATGTTACATAAAACTGAGCTGCGGCTAAGCTCAATTCTCCATCCCATGATTGCCTGGAAGAAATCACTTTAAGCGATAAGGCCGCCAATTGTTACATTATTTTGTTAAACTGTTTTAAATTTGTATACCTATATAACTTGTGTAATGTTAACAATAAAGAATTTTCGATTCTATTCTCTATAATGGTATTATTAATATAGTTTTGGTGAACTTCCTAAACATAAATGAGCATATGCTCACTAGTAATGCAAGTAATTCTTAAATTCACAAAACCTGCTGGTTATCTGGTAGTTAAATTGGTTTTAGCAGACGCCCAGACTGTGAGTGTTTATGGGTTTTTTAATTATTTTCCTTTAAGATAAATATTGATATAGTATTGCAAATGCAAAAGTGATCAGAAAAAATAATGATAAATTAATTAATTTGTAAACAAGGACTTTTTCAGTGCCATTTTTATTGGAATTCCACACATGCTTGTAAATACACACTTTTAAGTTTTCCTGTAAAAATACTACAATAGTTTACTTTTTTCAATACAAAATATTCAAAAATTCATGTTTTTATAATCATAGATAAGTTTACTTAAAGCCAAAAGCCCCTACAATCTAATAATGATTTTTAGGATGTTCCTATTTACAATGATTGTTTATAATTATGTAAAGTTTTAACAGAAATATAATTTTTCAATTTTAATTTACATTACATGCCTCAACTAAGTGGACCTTATTTATGTTAAGAATCTAAATAATATGAATTCAACATTTCAAATTGATAGAGGAATGAAAACCTATTAATTTATCTATAAAATGTAAGTTTTTAATAAAAAATAATAATTTAAGATTAATAATCAAGATATAATTTATTTTATTTTTAAAGTCTGCCAACATTTTTACATATCAATAAGCAACCACAAAATTACAGAACTATCTATAACAAATAGATAAAAAGGTGTACATAAAAAGTTTATTAAACATATGCATGCACTATCACACTTGTTTATCTAGCTCCATAGTTTTCGATTTCATTTTTTTTCTAATCATTTTACATAATTTATATCACATGGATTGCTATGTTCTCATGAGGTAGATGAGGAATCTGGTGTTTGATACCCAGATTTTGTATATTTACTTCAGACGTCAGGGTGCTCATTGAAAGTATCCTTGTATCTTTGTGAAATAAATAATATTGGATAGAAAATTTTATATGCTTGAAGTGCTAGACAGTCAAAGATTAAAATTTTTTGGTACCTTAATATAAGGTATTTTTATAAATAATTAAGGATAAAGCAAACATATCAATGGATTTACACAACTTATTATGTTCTTTACAGTCTATTGATAACTCACTCACAAACTCTTAAAATGTAGGAATTAAAAGTCACAGTGGATTGGAGTATTTAATATATTTCACGTTGTAAATACATAAAAGTCAGATGAGAGTAAAGAAGAGAGTGACATAAAAAACAATAAACAGTGTATAAAATACTAATTCAAAAAGGTATATGAAAAGATGCCAGTGTCTGATTAATATAGAAAAAGGTTTTATCTACACCTCCCCGTAATCAGGACACTTATGTACACCCTTTATATAAACACACTGTATGTACAAAAACACTATAATATCAAAAGTACCTTAACACTGATGCCCTAACCTAATTAACCTAATAACACAAAACAAATAACACTAAACTAATCCTAAATTAGTTAGGCACATATAGTGTCTCAGCTTAGGCAGTGGCTTTGTGAGAATGTTTGCTGTTTGGTGAGCTGATGGTATGAATGACACATTGACTTGTTTAGTGGATATAGACTCATAAACAAAATGATGTCTAATATCAATATGTTTTGTGCGGGCGTGATGCGTGTTGTTTTTTGTTAATTTGATGGCACTTTGATTGTCACAATTAATGGTGATGGGTGACGAAAAGCAAAAGATGTCGCTTAGTAATGAGCGAATGTAGATGGCTTTCTTACAGGCTTCACTTAGAGCCATGTACTCAGCTTCTGTTGTTGATGTTGCAACGGTTCACTGTTTACGTGATTCCCATGACACTGCTGAACCACACATTTGGAAAACATATCCTGTATAGGATCGTCTGATTACCAGATTACCACCATGATCGGCATCAGCAAATCCGATTAGATCACCACTATTGTTATAGGTCAGTTTCCTATTTTTTATAGCCTTCAGGTACCGAAGAACACGTTTCGCAGCTCTCCAATGTACCGAGATAAAACCTCTTCTATACAAACACTACAAATATGTTTGCCGAAGTTACTTTTGTAGGGCAAAATGTTTTTAATTATCAATTCTGAAGATGGATCAAGGTATTTTATTTCACTCAGCAATTGGGGGTACCTAATTGCACCTCTTAAAATTTTAAATAATATAAATTGTTTCACATCTATCATTAAACGCTAACTATCGATCGTCAAAAAGTAGAAATTTGCAACTTTTTAGAAATCGTTAATTTTGACAGATGAAACGTTCGGATTTAGTAACATTTCAGTAGCGTTTCGATCCAACGAAGTGTCAAAATTTTAGTGGAATAAGGCCGACGAACGACTCAAGTATATGGACGTAGTTATGCAAACCAGCCACATGATGTCAGTTTTGAGAAAAATGGGTTTCTTGTTTTTAGTAATAATTGTTTGTAGAATATATTTTATTTTATTTATTTATCAAGAAATTTTGTGAATTTACAACATGTGAGTTTAATTGCAACACTTTTAGGCTTCTCTGCACATAATTCGATTTTGACAGATTTGTGGGTTGGTTCCGGTTTGCATAACTACATCTGTATAGTTCTATGTTCGATTGAGCGAGTAGAATACCGTTTACAGTTTCTGTTGATCGATAGTTAGCTAAACTAAAATAGAACCGGAACTGTATCGTTTGACGCCATTTTGACACCGAGTAGAATAGGAAAACCACTAAAAGTTGTAGTTTCGTTCGGTTTCGTTCCGTTTTCGATTCGATTTAAACAAAATTTATGTAGTAGAATTGGCCCCCTGGCCTTCCTTATGGATGGTTAAGGAGGATGGGCCATGACCCTCCACGCTGGCCCAATGCGGATTGGAGAGTATTAACGACTGCAAATTCAGCCGGGATCAACGGCTTAACGTGCCTTCCGAAGCACGGAGTAGCTCGAGATAATAATTTTTTGGTCACCCATCCCGTGACCAACCCTTGTGAAAGTTGCTTTACGACTACGATCACGGGCCGCGGCGCTAATCCACTACGCCACCGAGCTACTGACGCAAACGCGTGACCATTATTAGAATGTGCAAAAAAAATCGCCATTTTGAAATACTCAAGCGCGTCAGATCAAGATATATATGGTTCATCTTTATGCCCCAGACGTGATATCTCATAATCTGACGATTATCTGAAGGGATTTACCTAATCTGACACTTAAATATATTTTTTTTTCATATTATTGAGCTTAATTAAATAGAAAAGCACCGGAGTTAGCATGCAAATAAAAAAGTGTATATTTTTTATGTAAAATACTTAGATTTATAGGAAAATGAATATATGAAAATTTAATTTTTTACAGTATTTTTCATTAATTATCATCTTCATCGCTAGAATCATCTTCCTCTTCTGGTTCAATTTCAGCCTCAGATTGCGTTTACATTAAAATAACAAAATAAGCAAAAACGTTGGAAATACGATGTAAACAATATCACGCCACGAACGAGTCTGTGTTTTTTGTTACTTCGGCTTGTGAAAATCGTCTGATTATATATTTTTCGTAATCCTTGAATGATTCCCTCCAAAATTAAAAAAAAAAAAGCCACGTTCGAGAATGTTAAAGGGACATTTTTTTTACAACTTTGTAGCCTTCCCCCGTCTTTACGTCACTCTCAGATTGTCAGATTAGAGGTATGTACATATTTTATCGTAGCCGAGTGGTTCGCACGCCGGTTTCAAGGTGTCGCCATCTCTGAGGTCCCGGGTTCGATTCCCGGTCGGGTCAATTTATAAAATGAACTTTTCTATATTGACTCGGGTCTGGGTGTTGTGGTACCTTCGTTGTCTCAGATACTCCATAATACGGGGGCTTTAGCTACTCATCTTGGAATCTGAGCAATGTATGTGATGTTGTTAAATATTTATTTTTATTTATTTATTTAGCATACCTTAATCTGACGCGCTCGACATTTTCAGATGATCATTTTTTTTTTTTACTAATCTGATCCTTCGTCTTTGCCGAGCGGCCATTTATATAGGGCTCATACTTGGTCCAGGTACTTAACTGGGTACAAGGTATCCCCCTGTATATTAATCTGCCGCGCTTTAGTAAATCCCGAAATCCCCGCTACGGCTCCTCTATTATCAGTAATACGACGACAAATTGGGCACTACAAAATTATCACACAAACTATTATTATATGTTGATAGAATTCGCAAGACTTTCCATGTTCTGAACGTGGGCAATGGACATTTGCACCTAGAAGCGCGTACAGAAGGCATGTGGAGCATTGTGCAAGACCATAACCTACAAAATACCTGTGGCTCGGGGTGCGCTTGCGTCACACAAAGTGGACAGCGAACTAAATCTGTTGCATTACACTACCAACCGTTAAGTTCCAACGAAGTAAGTCTTTTTCAGAACGTAAAATTATGCCTTTTCATTAAACTATTTCATAAAATTGTAGCTGATAGTTACACGTTAATTCTAACACTAATACGAACCAATATTATAATACTGGTTCATGTCAAAGAATTTTGAAAGTGATGGAATAAAATACATCGCTGACTTGATGAAATAAAAAAGTTTATTAGTGCGTGTTTATCCTTCTTTCTGTATTTTACGTCACGTACTTTATCACGCCGACCCAAACTTCCATACCGTCGTAACGAGTTCTCGTGGAACTTATTGGAGATCCTTTGAGACTCATAGACTACAAATTGTCTTGAGAGTAAGTGAGATACTGATTTCAATTGATGATATGAGTTACTCGACATGAATGCTAAGTAGAGGGTTAGTTCTGTGATAAAACCCTATTTATATTCGTCTAGTTGGTCTGATAATTTAATTCTTCTATTTGTAGGTATTTTTAGGTGTTATTCGATAGTTTGGTGAAGTTGCTCATGTTATTTTAAAATGTGTTTTACCTCATTATAGATGACAGTAGAAGTTTGCATTCACAGTGCAGAAGTCTGGCCTAAAGTTGATACCTCTACAAACTCACCTCCACTCTATAATCAATGGAAAAAAACTGTAACACCACTATACTTTTATGATAAAGATAACGTGCTATTAATGGTAAGCCAAAATTGTCATAATCCGTGTAATTTATTGTAATTCATAATATTTTTGTAACGTATTTAGCTTTAATAAATTATCTTGTTGGTAGACTTTATCTCTTATCTTGAACTTGGAGTATCCCAGAGTGAATATTGAGCCGGCCGCAATAGACTTCGGTTTCGTGACAGACGGTGATACGAGAAAAACATATTTTACCGTTTCACATACCAGCCGTTAGTAACCATAATATTCAAAAATGTTTTCTGTATAATGTGGTGTAATTAGTAATGTTCGCTCAGGAATCAAAGGGCTATGCGTCAAATTATTTTAAGTAGTCCACCGCGTATTAATAGGGCCCGATACCATATCTAGAATGTTCTGGGTTAGGACCTAGAACATTCTAGGTGTTTCCTCGGCCCTACTGGTGTATTAGAGGCATTACCAAAAAATTTTAGAATAGCTACCCGTCCCTTTCTTCCCCAGTCACTGTCCCGACGTATGCCTATACGTCACAGGTAATTTCAACAGTGCTAGCGGGATTCATTGGCGCATAACCCACCAACTACACTGGACAGCAAATAAACCGGGTCACCCGCTGCCTTGGAACTCTGATCCGATTGTCTCAAAAAGTATAAAACTTATAGTTACCAAAGTTATACTTACAGAAAGTGCATTTACACACATTTGACGATTAAAATGATAAGAAATTGTTAGAATTAATTAATTTATTAAGTGTTTATTATGCCGTATATCCGTGGCCGAGTGGTTCGCACGCCGGTTTCTATCTCTGAGGTCCCAGGTTCGATCCCCGGTCGGGTCAATGTAGAACTTTTCTATATTGTGTCGGGTTTGGGTGTTGTGTTACTTTCGTTGTCTCAGATACTCCATAATATAGGGGACTTTGACTACTCATCTTGGAATCTGAACAATGTATGTGATATTGTGTAATATTTATTTATTTATATTTTTTATTAAAAATAATTTAATATTATAATTATTTATATTGTTTAATCTAAATATGCGTTTATAGTTTATAGTATTATACAATGAAGGGTCGTTTTACAGTCGTATTAATCGGTAATGTTAAATTGAAAATAAAATATACAAATAAGAAAAAAAAAGAAAACGGTTTAAAAAAGATGTTGATCAGTATTCAGTATTTCCTCTCATTGCTCGGGTAACTGCCAGCAGCCTCGTATACATCGACCTCACCAGCCTGACGATGAAATCTTGAGGAATCGCAATCTACTCCTCTTCCATTGCGATTCGCAACTTTGAAGGTTCGTGTTCACAATCAGCTTCGGGTGACTTCAGGATGAAAACAGTGCTTATTTTGTTTTATCGCCTTACACAGGTACGACCACATTATATTTAGAAACAAAATGGCTCGGTAGCGACGACTTCAGTCTCTGGCCGAAAACGTTACTGCTGTCTCCGGGCACCTGCGAGCCAGTCTATGTACAGTATACGGCTAGGTGAGTGCAATTTGAATACGTTTTTAAATTCGACGGATATATAGTATTAAAAATGCATACTAAATCCGGGAGTGGACAATATTTCATAACTTATATTAACTTTAAATACAAATAAAACATGACTTATCAATAGCATTTAAAGAATCATGTCCAATTTTGACCTAGAAAGTAACTAACGCGACTAGTGATGTGATATATCCTAAAATATAGCTTATTTTTAACGTATTTCAAAGCACATAATAAAGTATAAATATTTTAAAAAGTTCTAAGTTATATACGAGAACGCGATTCGGGCCGCAGAATGACCATTTGCTGCGATTCGTTTCATCTAATACGAGAAATATATTCATTCGTCTTAAGGTTAAAAAAGTGCACAATAATAATTACATTTAATTTTATTTTCTCGACTAAGAATAACATTTTATTAAACTTTTATTTTAATGGTATGAATGAAAAAATGAATTGTATAGTTAGCCAGTTATGCATTGAGCAAAATTTTTTTGCATCAAACGAAACGCCAGGTTTCAAGGCGCCAGTATTACGTTTAAATTTTGATTATAAATTGTGTTAATGGACGTATTGTTGCGTTGTTGTGCACATGTTATGATGATTGTGTAGTTTATGGGCTGGGCCAGGCAGCCAGGCATCAAAATAACATTAATCCTCCAGCTGCATTTTTGAATGAAGTAGTTCTAAGAGGGGATAGTGGAAATGAATGAATAATCTTATAAAAACATTGTTTTTATTTCTATTTTATAATATAATCTAAGACTGAATACAACATTATGTGTAATCGATTTTAATATTCCAAGTATACTTTGGTCAAAAAAGTACCAGCAAAGCAAAGAAATTAAAAATGTTCCGAAAAAAAACACAACAGCATTTGTTTGGACTATATTACATTAGAATAATACTGTGTTAGATGTGAAAATCATTAAATATTATAAATTAATAAATGCCATTAAATAAAACTTAAATTCGCAATTATCTCGAGTTTTGACAATTGTTATAACCCAATATATTATTTACAAATTACACTTTTCCCTGGGCTTTAAATGAAAAGATTATTTGTTGAAATTCTATTATAAGCAAAAACCAATTTAAAATTACACCATATGTAAGTAGACGCGACCTAGAATAGAAAACGAGTGACAGGTCAACCAATGTATGGAAAATGGACATGATTCTTTAACGCAAAAATGACGCAATTTGATATGCGACGGAACCGTGTAAAGTGACAGACATTTGAAAGCTAACCAGGTGTGGATATTCACTTTGGAAATAAATTGATCTTTTATTTGATAAAAATCAATACAAATTGAATATGCCAATATTTATATTTGCGCTACATATCTTTGATAAAATTCTCCTGGATATGTATGAAAATTTCGCAATTAATTGAAAAAAAAATCGATAACTTAATGCTAATTTTATCGAGATTGAATCCTGATATGATTGAATCAATTTTGTCAATTTTGCTTGCATGCCTATTGTCAAAGTTGGCATTCTGTGCTGTCATTTTAAACAGTGACACAGTTTATGAATCATTATTTTAAAATGAGAAAATTAGTAATATGTTAAATTAATTTTAAGTGCAATTTAGAATATATATATCGATAAACCTTTGTGATTTGATTACACATCCTATTATTAATATTATAAATGTGAAAGATTCTTTGTTTGGATGTTTGGATATTTGTCCGCAATTCACGCCAAAACTACTGAACGGATTTTGTTGAAATTTTGTATACAGATAGGGTATTAGCTAATTTAGATAATAGTATCTATCCCACTGAACATTTCTCTAGGAACCACGCGGGCGAAGCCTGGCGAAAGCTAGTATTACAATATTCTCTTTCGTCTATAATAAACTCGCGGGTTGTTTGATCGAAATCTGTTCCGGTTCGATCGTTTGAAAATTGTTAGCTTCAGATTATTTTGAAATCGGTAGGATATAGAAATGTTGAAGTTTAGTTAGATATCGTCGAGGACATGAACGGTTATCAGGTGGCGTAGGGGGCCGGTGGAGGGCGTGGCCCGCGTGGAGCACTGTGGGGGCGCAGGGGCGGGGGCGGGGGCGGGGGCGGGGTGGTGCTGGAGCGCGCTGCCGGTGCGCGCGGCGGCCGCACGCGACCAGCGCTGCCGCGCGCCGCCGCACGACCACACCGACGACAGCCGCCTGCTGCCGCCCGGGGCACTGTGAGCTAAACCAGGAGGAAGAGGAGCTAGTTGAAGCTCTCTTCTTCCCCAAATTTTCCGAAAGGATGATTATTACGCATCGGAGCTGATTGTTAATGAGCTGCGTGGGTGTGACCGCTCAACCAGATGTTTATTTGACTGTTTTTGAAGATTACAACCACCCGAGTAATATATACATCGAGTACTTGTAGATCGCTATCGAAATTCTCTATTTAGATAAACTGGCTCTGTTATAGTATTATGATATTACTTTTGAATTAGACGTTTTCATTTATTTGAATAAGTTTCTGTTAATAAGCTCGACTGTTTTGTGCGTTCCCTCTTTACGAAAATAATCAACAATAATATAGCATTCATTAGTGCGATCAGAATCTTCTCCACTTTTTTTTACATAGTATTTGAGTTGAGAACTACAGTATTGAAGTTTTAATAGCTCTCTTTGGTACGCAGATACTGATCACGAACAACAAGGACGAAGTTTACGAGAAGTTTTTTATCGAAAATGTTGCTGTGCTTCTTACATATAAAGAAATCAGGAAAAGGGCACTCGTGTTTTTCTAAAGAAATATACTTTCTCAAAAGTGTCAGGATCAAACTTCTGTTTCAAATATAATTATGTAACTTCATAAAAAAAAATATATAAAAAGAATGCAATTTTGAAATAGATTATGTTTAACAAAAACACCATTTTAATTAATAATGATTATTATTCAAATACTTTATTATATATTGTACTTGTTTTTTAATAAAAAGTAAGAAACGATTACTTGCTTTTTATAGAACAAGATGTTACCTTGCGGTAGACCATTACAATAATTGATTCTCTACGACATTTGACATTCCATATCCCGTTATTATGGTATAGGATGCTCCATGGAGAAGCGAAACAAGTGTAAAGTAATAGTTGGTGGTGTTCGGGAGACTTATTGCCGCTTGCTGACGTGAATACGGGCGATGCACAGCAAGTGTTGCACAAACTGACCGACTGTGAACGTTTCTATATATCATAGTTTCACATAAGCATTTGACTTCCACAATGTAACGCCTAATTCTATTAAATAAATGTTAAAAAAAACATTACGACGTATATATATATATTTCAATGATAATGAGTCAATTATTAGCTAACAAATTATTATTCTATCGTGCTAGTTACATATATGTAGACGTTTTGCGGTAAATTGATATTATGTCTATTGTGATTACAATATAGTGTTTCACCATTAATCACAATGCTTTAATCATTTGGAAATTAATTAATTAATCTATCGGTCTTCTGACGTCTGAATCGCAATTAATACAGAATTAAGATCTGATGACTCCAACTAATAATTAATTACACTAAAATTATTATCAAACGGTTTCCCGATTATGGGTGTATTGGTAATTTTATTTTGATAATAATAATCTTTGTTTGCGAAAATATGGTTACAGGGTAGTTTAACAATTTTATTAGAACAAAATGTTTTATCGCCAAAACGATGTGCAAATATTAAAGTCAATATACAATAAATTATCTGATTTTATATGAAAGAAGTGTTTATTATTATAAAAAATGTAAAGAAATTAAATACATAAAAAATGGCGAATCTCAATTCAAAGCTGACTGACTGACATAGTGATCTATCAAAGCACAGCCCAAACCTCTAGACGGATCGCGCTGAAATTTGGCATGCAGGTAAATGTTATGACGTAAGCATCCACTAAGAAAGGATTTTGATCAATTCTACCCCCAAGGGGATAAAATAGGGAATGAAAGATTGTATGAAACTTTGTCAACTTTAAACCGATCGAGCTGAGACTTTGCATGCATAAAGCTACTATGACGTAATCTGTTCCAATCTATTCCAATTTGGCAGCAATAATGTCTATATGTGCCTTACAATTACAGAATCTGTCTATCGTGATACCTAAGAAATTTATTTCATCTACTTCTAATAGTTTGTTATCATTTTGCCTTACATCTATAGTTTTAAATTGTAAGTATTTTTTTTTTATTAATTTTAATTTTAATGTTATTTTTCTCCAGCTATTGTGTGACTTTTCTGAATTCAGTGTTAGTTACTCGTTCAATATCACCACAATCCTTACCTCTGATGATAAATGTTGTGTCATCAGTTAATAGGATGATATATTTTGGTCAGTGACAAATCATTGTTATATTATAAAAGTAAAAGTGGTTTAAGTACGCTACCCTGGGGTACACCACAATGGTTAAGGGTATATTTAGAAGTATAAGATTTTCTAAAATTACCTATAATCGTAGATATTACGACACACTGTGTGCGGTTGCTTAGATAAGTTTTCATCCATTCTAAGGCATTGCCCCTTATTCTATATCTATCTAATTTGTGTAGGAGTAACTTGTGTGAAACAAAATCAAATGCTTTGCTCATTTCCAGGACTATTGCCAAAGAATTAAGTTTAAGATCGAGACTATGCATAACATGTTTTATTTATGAGATTAAAATATGCCAGAGCCGTTCTTCTGTATTTACGAAATCCAAACTGTTCATCTTATAATATATCTTGAGATGAGACAAAGACGAAAACTTTGTCATTCATGACTTTTTCAAACACTTTTCAGAAGAGTGAAATAAGGATTATAGATCTAATTTCTTAGTTCATTGAAAGATCCTTTTTTATGTAACGGTTTAATTAATGAGCGTTTTAGTACTGAAGGAAAGTGATCCTGCATAAAAGATAGATTTACAACGTGAGTTAGTGAGTGTACAATAATAACTAACACTTTATTAATGATATCTGTACTTAATTCATCGATGCCAGTCGAGTGTGAGTTTTTAAATTATTTTATTATCTTATAAATATTATTTTTATTAACTGGTGTTAGAAAGATGCCATTTGAACAGATTGGTATGTTGCGTGTTGCATAAGTTATGTCGATAAATTCATTATTTGCAATAGTTTCATTAATAGATAGATATTTTTAGTAGCTTAGAACAAGACAAGTGTTTCTTTTTATATATTTATTTGTTGGGTGTAGTCGATATTGAAGGTAAAGGCGTCGCTTATGAATACAGCAATTTTTTATGCCGTTAGTAAGCCAACCGTTTTAAGTAAGATAGGTTTATGAACCCTAGCTTACCTAAAACGGTTGGCTTACTATAAAAAATTATATTATGTGTACCAATGTCACGTTTCTTTTCAAGCCAAATCTTTGGCGATTTTTGGTACTTAGCATTATTATCGGTAACAAATGCAATGCTTGAACCAGTTTCGTAGTCTGATAAACACAAATACTATATTTGAGCAGTTACTAAGCATGTATTTTACGAGTAAGCTTATTGATATGATTATATATGTCGTAGCTATGATGAATATTTATTAATTCCGTAGAATATCTGTCGGATTTTATCATGTCAATGTTTCAGTCGTCACATTAAATAATATTTTCTTCCTTTTTCATGATAGTCTATTTAATAAATTTACTAGTTGCATAAAAATATGTCAATATTAGATGTTGGTGTCCTATAAATACAAATTATTATTAAATTTCCGTAGCGCATCATTCAAAGAAACACGGCATGGCTTCTGTTATGTCATATTTTTAATATATTATCTAATTTATTTTTTAGTTATATACAACTATCACACCTGCGTTCTGTCCTATAAAACACGGAAGCTATTTTCTTGCTACAAACAACTATTATATTCGTCAGAAAATGTTTGACGAACGTAGAATCTTACTCAACTAATAATAAAGCTGTAGAGTTGTTTGTTTGGCTGAAAATAAAATAAAATGACTTCTAACTCCAAAAATAACCTGAGCTAAATCCCATTAGGTTACCATGGTGTTAAAGACCAGAGGCGGGTTATTGTCAGTCATCCTTATTACGCTGCTCCATTCTGGGGAAGACTCTTATGTGACAGTTTTATTGCATATGAGGGGAATGGTAAGACGGATGGGAAAACTCGAAAAGTTGAAAATCAGATATCGGGGCCCATCCTCAAAGTTAAGATTGCACGGTTGGGCTACTAATGGATGTGATTGTCCCACGTGACGAGTATAGCTTCCCGGGTCTCATCTTCCATCCCAGATGAGGGTACACACTGTAGAGGTTGTGGTGAGCCGAGGACATATCGATGCTCACATACCTATATCAGTACATTTTCCTTAGGATTAAAAGGGATTGTATTGGATAGGTCTCTGAAACCCAACCAAGTGATATTTATAACCATGGATGGACTCACTGAGCCCTATATAATCTTACAAATGAAACTGCTTCGGTTGAAGTTTGTTTACTTGGCTCTGGTTAAAATGTCTGTAGTTATAAGTCATATTAATATGAAAAATTACGAGTCCCAGTTAACTTAAGAAATGGATATTGCCGCAACTTCCTCGCATTCATTTACATAATATCTCTATAATCTGCATTTTATCAAAGATGAATTACTCCCAAGGAGTTTACCCCCTATTGTTTCCGGAACGAGAACAAATAATTCAATTAGAGACGTCGTTTCTCGAGAAATTATTATTATTATTTCTCAAGCAAAATTCGTTATTAGTTGTTTGCGTTTGTTTTCATGTTACAAGCTAAAATATTTGCCTAATTTCATTATTTGGAAAATTGTTTTGTACGGTTTGTATTCAATCTTATTTGCCCCGCTAAAATAGTGACAAACAGTATAATTGACCTTCTTTTAAATTTACTATTAAATTGTAATGTGTATTAATAATATTATATTATTCACGTGAGTTCAGAAGAAAAATAAAGTCCGTTATTTACAAGACATTACGAGTGGAAAGTAAAGTAATCACGGACTAATGAACTGACTGGTCAGTGATTATTGTAGTACTTTTGTATTATTTATCGCTCACTTTCAGAGGAGGTGTGAAGCCAAAACACTCTCCTATCTGTCTAGATAGAAGACGGCAACTTGCGCGTTCATGCATCTTCCTACGGCTACAAAATGATTCACGTGTTTTTTTTCAATTTGTCTTACAACAAGAAATAACTCTCAAGAAATATAATATACAATAGT